TTATTGTGATTTGAGTGTTAATGATGTCTCTCACCCGTCACGCCATGACCCAGTTCAACACACGGCCATTTGCAACACAGTTCGTGACCCTCGGCGTCACCCGACTGACTATATGAGCGTTCTCTTCAACTGTTAAGCTAGGATTTATTACCGTTATTATCATTATATTGTCACGTGATTTGTTTTACCTTATGTGTAATGTCTTAAGTATCTTTATTGTAATTTGTATATACCAATTCGTATATACCGAGGAAACGACCCCGATTGAAGGTCATGTATTTTATGACGTCACCAATTCGTGTGTAGGTACTGCTTCTAGATCTGTGCCATATATTGCTGTGTAAAAGGTCGTTGTTCCCGATGTGCAATGTTAGCACAGTGTCTAAATAAAAATATGCTAAGTGCAATCGTTGTAGCATATTTTGTAAACCCACATTGTCTTAGCTACATAACTTTAACATATTTAGTATACTGGCATTGTAAATCAGACATTACACCTTGGCGAGGAATGAGCAGTTTTAGTGAAGGTGCAACGTCTGGAATTGAGGAGCTGATAGAGTTCCTCAATTATTGAAAAAAAAATGGCCACATCTCTTAACCTTATGTGAATCGTGGCCAGTAACATCATGGCTTGTTTCTCATTATTGCAAAAAGTCACCAGTTGCGTGCAGCAGAGTCGCTGCTTACCTAGTCGAGTACTAAACACTTGGCCGTTATATAAGAAATACAGCATGGTAGAAAATTAAATGGACGCTCACATAGCAGTGAAACACACTCTGCATGATTTGGTTAGCTGTTTTTAATATTACTGTGGAGAAGTGTGGCCAGAAACATCGTAGCTTGTCTTTCACTAGTACTATTACAATAAATCACATAAATAAGTTGCAACACAGTCAACGATCGGCCAATCCCGCTGTCAGTCTGTCAATAAAAGATACATGTAAACATCTGATGTCTCGTAAATTTTGAGAGACTTGATTGACGTTAACAAAATTTATATCCCTTTGATAACACTTTTTTTAAATGAAAGAAATAACCTGGATATTTGTTTACCAAAAGTATATATAAAGATGTCAAATTGTTTGCGACAACGTGTTCAAGAAACACAGAATATTTTGTCTGCCAAGTTGGTGTACGACAAAAGAGTATGGACGACTATTAGTAAAGCGAGTGACAAGGTTAAAGGTTATGAACCCGGAAATACAAACTCACCGATACGTTCAGCGATCAACGATGTTTGTATCCCATGTAGCATTCCTGGTTGTCGTTTCAAGTAAGTTGCCGTGATCTTTACGTAATTTTGATCTTAGTGTATGCGTTTTGTGTGCTTGCGATATACCCATACAAGGCCTGTTACATCTTTTACATCCAGCGTAAGGGAATGCAGCCAATACAATTAAACAAGTAGAAACACCAATTGTGTAGCTTAAGAATTGTCTCGATACGTACACATAATTATTTATATGTATTATCATAGTAATTACTGCCCAACAAGCTTTCCTATAATAACTGACCCAATTGCTCTACGCTACCATTAATCATCACC